AATTCAGAGGAAGATTGTATGTCCCTCCCCTAAATGATCTCAGAAAGCAGATTCTGATAGCATACGAGGAGGTGTTGAATATGAAGGTCATGAAGCCCAAATAACACTCCCTTAGTTAGAAACCCAGCAAGCCCTCCAGAATGTTCAAGGGATTTATAGCTCTAGAATGCTTACATAGAGGAGGACATGGATCATTCCTTGGATGATGACACGGATACATGCGGAGCTTAACGTGACATATGGAAGGCCACCCTGAAAACCATCATTGCATATAAGTCATTGGAGTATGAACACTTGGACCTTGAGAAAAATAAGAACACGTTCTAAGAGCCCAAAACGAGCATTTAAAGCCAGTTTTCATGTTGTTGAAGGCCCAACACAATTATATATGCATGGAGGAGTCCATTGGAGCTATAATCTTTTAAATTGGAGCCCAAATGCATTATGCTATGGACCATGGGAATTCCAGAACGTGATTCAACCATTCAAGCCCAAATGGATGTCTAAAAGGCCCATTCATGGTTCTGGACGTGAATAGCAATGAAGGTCCGTTTGGACGGTCTAAGAAGATTCAAGAAGCATCAAGAGTGATATTATTGACATTAATTAGGATTCTGTTTGTTATAATTAGTTTCCTATTTTACAGTTTCCTATTTTCAAATAGCAGATTTATTCTTGAAGTTTAAGTTATTTCCTTTTATTTCTATGTAAGAAATGATGCCTCCCATAGTCAAATAATCATTAATGAGGCATCATCCCTAGCATTTATGTCTTAAGATGCTGATTCTAGAGGGTGCTATGGTTGCCTATATATAGGCTACGTTTTTGTACTTAAAATGAAGATTTGAATGAATGAATTTTAGAGAATTTTATTTCTCTTGAGTGAGCTTTGCTTGCCGCCTCGTATTCTCGTGGGAATACTCGACTGTATCAAGGACTAACCATCCTTGTGGTGTCTCCATGGCTAGGGTTGTAAGAGACAGGTTCTCTTAAGGTCCTACCTTTGATCGTTCGTCTAGTTTCCTAACTTGTTTCTAGCCGATCCGTATCCGTTCCATATATCAGATTCTAAATGAGGCACATAAAAGCAAGTATACGATTCATCCAGGAATGACCAAGATGTATCAAGACATCAAGTTATTGTTTTAGTGGCCTGGTATGAAACAAGATGTCACTAAGTACGCGACAAAGTGCCTTATGTGCCAGAAAGTGAAGATAAAAACACCAGAAGCTTTCAGGATCCTTACAACCCCATTAATATTCCTGAATGGAAATGTGATAGTATCTCTATGGACTTCATAGTAGGACTATCTCGTACGTTATCAGGGTACAATGCAATATGGGTTATAGTTGACAGACTAACAAAGTCGGCCCATTTCTTGGCAATTAAAGTTAAATATTTGCCAGAGAAGTTAACAGATTGTACATTAAAGAGATCGTAAGGTTACATGGGGTTCCAGAGTACATTGTATTAGACAGAGATCCAAGATTCATGTCGAGATTCTGGAAAGCGGTGCAAGAAGCCATGGGCATGATACTGAGTTTCAGTACAGCTTACTATCCGCAAATAGACAGACAAACAAAATGAACGATACAGACACTAGAAGATATGCTGAGAGTGTGCGTTCTAGATTTCAAAGGGAGCTGGGATGAATATCTGCCTTTGTTAGAGCTCGCGTACAACAACAGTTACCATTCCAGTATCCAAATGGCACCATACGAGGCATTATATGGGAGGAAGTGTAGATCCCAGCTTTGCTGGACAAAACTCAGAGAGAGAAAAGTTTGGGGTCTAGACATAGTGGATTGTACCTTTGAACAGATTAAACAGATCAGACAGAAGAGTTATGCTGACAACAGAGGAAAGCCGTTAGAGTTTGAGGTTGAGGACCATATATTCCTGAAAGTATCTCCAACTACTAGAGTAGGATGATCCATTAAGGCAAGAAAGTTGATGCCTAAATATGTGGGACCATTCTAAATTCTCTCAAAAGTAGGACTAGTAGCCTATTGACTGGCCTTGCCCCTGAATTTGAGTCAGTTGCACAACGTCTTCTATGTTTCTCAATTGAAGAAGTACAATCTGGATCCAGAGCATGTGCTAGAATATGATCAGATTGAGCTGAAGAACGATGTGACATTTGAAGCAAGACCAGAATAAATAGTGGACCAGAGAGTCAAGCAGCTGAGGAACAAAGGAATTCCTTTAGTCAAGGTGATTTGGAAAGATCTAAATCAAGAAGAGGCCCCGTGGGAAATGGAAGACAAGATGAGGAGTAAGTATCCAGAGCACTTCACTTGCGGTATGTGTTAAAAATTTTGTGGATGAAATTTATTTTAAGGGGGTAGAAATGTAACATCCCAAAATTTCTAACCCAGAAATAGAAAAATATGTCACACCCTGATATCTTTAACATGATTAATAAAGGAAGTAGGATTGACCAAGGCCATGTGAGATAAAAGATAGGTAAAAAATTGGAAGGCCAAGATCAAGTCTTATGTAAGAAGGGCATGTGTAGAATTAATGAAAATATGAAGCCTATAAATACCCCTCCACATGTTCATTTCGTGCAAGGCCATTCAAGTAGGGAAACTCTTGCAAAATTTCATTTAGAGAGAGAAAGAGGAGAGTTCTAGTGAGAGGAGGTCACTTGAAAGCAAGGTAAGCTTCTACAACTCTTCTATTTCAAGTAATAATGGTGATATGTTGGTTTTATGCTATTTTGATTATGATGAAAAGTCATTTTCATAAGGGGAAAGTGTTGCCCGAATTTCATCAAAATAGATAGGAAGGGTTTAGTTATGTATTATTAAGATTAAGCATGGTTAAAGGTTAAGGATTAAGTGATTACGTGTTAGTTTTGTTGAAAATCCTTTTCCCTATAATTATATATAGTGTTTGGCCAAGTCAAGTTCAATGGGAAGGGATTGGATTTTCATAAAACTAATATGATAAATGGATTCTACATGAACAATTATGTAGGAAAGGCCCAGGAAAGGTGATAGAGGAGCATGTCATGATCAAGCATCAAAGGAAGACCAGAACATGGAGCGTGGAGCCCAAGCTAAAAGATGGAAGTCCAATATTCTAAAAGACCCATTACAAGGCATTGTAGGCCCAATGACAAGAGCAAGGACCAAATCTATGAAAGAGGCGCTGAATTGTTTGATAAAAGATCTTAAAGAGTTAGAGCCCATTTATTTGGAAGAAGCATCCCTCAATCAGCCCATCAAGGGTCCAAACATGGTGATTACATTGCTAGAAGCCAAACAAATGATGTACAAGGCCCATGTGTAGTCCAGATTGAAGAATTCACTCAAAATACTATGTGACAAGCATGTGCCTTGGAGGAGGAGCATAAGTGACGTCCAAGAATATTCAAGAAGCATCAAGAAGGCGTCTTTATGTATTAGTTATGGTTTAATTTCTTTTTTTTAAGTTTCCATTTTTATTTGCATTAAATAAGGCCTTTTGGTCAAAGATTGCATAAGAATATTTTAGGTTAGTTTCTTATTTTTAGGTAGCAGCCGTTTTCTTCAAGAAAAGGTAATTTCCTATTTCCTTTAGCCTTAATTGGTGCCAACCAAGATAGTCAATCATCATTAAGGCACATTTATGGCATTTATGACCTAGGGTTTTTGATTCTAGATTGTTCTTTTGCTGCCTATATAAGGCTACGTTTTTTGTAATTGGGGATCAGGTTTGAATGAATGAATTTTAGAGAACTTTATTTCTCTTGAGTGAGCTTTGCTTGCCGCCTCGTATTCTCGTGGGAATACTCGACTGTATCAAGGACTGATCATCCTTGTGGTGTCTCCATGGCTAGGGTTGTAAGAGACAAGTTCTCTTAAGGTCCTACCTTCGATCGTTCGTCTAGTTTCCTAACTTGTTTCTAGCCGATCTGTATCCGTACCATATATCATTTGGTATCAGAGCTAAGGTTTGCTAGAATTCAAGTTCTATCCTTTTATCTATTATTTCTGTTTTCTTGTTTCATCTTCTTAATTCTATCATTCGTTCTTCATCCCTTGCTTCCATCAATTTGTTTCTTCGCCTTTCCACCTTCTATTTGTGTTTTTTTTTTGTGACTTTCTGTGTTCCTTTGAGCAGCAAAAAAAAAAAAGAGAGAAAAAATTCGTGTACCAGAAAAAAAAAGCAAAAAAAAAAAGTGTTGTGTTGTGAAAAAAAAAAGGAGTGCTAAAAAAAAAAGAAAAAAAATCCGAAAATTCAAAAAAAAAAAAAAGAGAGGAGAAGCTGCAGATTTGAGAATTGCAAAGTTAAAGATGAGTTTCCTAAAATTGAGAAGAGCTTCCATTACAAGTCACAGCTAGTTTCCTAAATCGTTAAACTTGGGTGGTAAGAGTTCTTATTTCCTCTCTTTGCATGTTTCCTAATTTCTTCTTGTTTCCTATTTTTTTGTTTTCCTTTCCTTTTTTTTTTCATTGCTTAATTTGAGCTTCTTTCCTTTTCCTTCAAGTTTCCTATTTGCTTCCTTCCTAACTTGATTTGCTTTTCTTGCAAGGTGCCCAATTTCCTAAATTATTTTCAAAGTAGCACCTTTCCTAAATATTTTCTTCCTTTTTTTTCCTTTCTTTTCTAATTCATAGCTTTCCATATTCTCCTTTCTTTTCTTTTTTTTCCTGTTTACGTTTTTTTCCCCTCCTCTTTTCCTTCCTTTTACGTTTTTGGTACCTATCCTTCTTCTTTTATCACATATTCCTTTCTTATCTCTTATATTTTCTGGTTCTTGCAATTCTAGTTGTGGAGAGTACCATTTACTAACATTGTCTCTTGATTTTGTTGAGTTTCAATCAAGAATACTATAGGAGGCAAGTTTGAGTGGTAAAAGGTGAGAGTGTTATTACATCAATTTAAAAGCCAGATTTGAGTTAAACACGAGTAACACTACAATTTCTTGAGTGAAACACACGAGTAGAGTGGTAAGGTCCCTTCTTACTATTTCATTTCTCTTTGATCACACTAACGTTTCAATTTCAAGATGAGTGACAAAGAAGCCAATATGGAAGAATTCAACACAGATCCTAAGCTATTCATGAGAGTCATGAGAGATGAATTTCTCAAACTCAAGTTGGAGCTAGCGGAGCTAAAAGCATCCAAAGCAAGTAGTGGTGACGAGGAGGTGATTAGATCTGGTTCTTCATCCTCAAAGAATAGGAGCGGACCTGAAAAACGTGATTTGGACACCTATAACCCAAAGATCAAGTACCCTACCTTCAAGGGTAATATAAATCCAGATGCATACCTTGATTGGGAGATGAAGTTTGAGCAAATCTTCAGAATGAATGACTGGCCAGAAGAAAAGAAGGTAAAATTTGCTTCATATCAATTTTTTGACTATGCTATTGTTTGGTGGGAAGATTTACAGCTTAAAAGGCGCCTTAAGGGCAAAGGACCACCTCATACATGGTCAAAGCTAAAGAAACTCATGCGCAACAAGTATGTCCCTAGTTACTACTACCGAGAGCTAAATAGAAAGTTACGACTGTTTGGCCAAGGCTCTATGACTGTAGATGAATATGTGCATGAACTTGACCTTCTTAAAATGCGAGCTGGAGTACAAGAAGGACAAGAAGCAAGCATGACCAGAATCATTGATGGGTTAAGGCATGAAATTAGAGACAAAGTTGAGATGTACACTTTTGTTGATAAAGAAGAGCTAGTGCATAAAGCCATCAAAGTTGAGAAGCAGTATAAAGAAAAACACTCCAAATCCTCATCTCATGGTTGGAGGGACTCTAGATCAGCATCCAAGTGGAAGGATTCTAAGGCTAAAGATGTTGCAAAATTCACACCAAAAGCCAAGGAGGAATCCAAGCCCAAGATTGATGGCGGTAAGAAACTTGACTCTAAAACTTCTTCTACTAATAGAACCTTTTCTCTTTAATGTTTTAGATGTCATGGAAAAGGCATATTGCTTCCCAATGTCCCAATAAGAGGGCTATGATTCTCAAAGATAATGGCGAGTATGACAGTGTGCATTCTAGCGATGAAAGTGATGATGACATGCCTTCTTTGCTGACTGATTCTGAATTGCAGATTGATGAAGCTGAACCTATTAAGGGAGAAGCATTAGTGGCTAGAAGAGCCCTAAACATGCAACCAAAGGAAGATAAAGAGCAAGAGCAGCGAGAGCTCATCTTCCACACTAGGTGCTTCATAAAGAATAAGGTATGTAGCATGGTTATTGATAGTGGTAGTGTTACCAATGTTGCTAGTACCTTACTTGTTGAAAAGTTGGATTTACCTACTATGAAGCATCCTAAGCCTTATAAATTGCAATGGTTGAATGATAGTGCTGAAGCTAAGGTCACTAAGCAAGTTTTGGTTTCTTTTTCTGTTGGCAACTACCATGCTGAAGTTTTATGTGATGTAGTCCCAATGCTTGCTGGACATCTTTTGCTTGGAAGACCATGGCAGTTTGATAGTAGAGCTCATCATGATGGTTACAAAAATTGTTATTCTGTACCTTTCAATGAGAAAATCATTGTATTGAAGCCTCTTAGGCTTAAAGAAGCTTATGATGACCAATTGAGGATTGAGAAAGAATGCAAAAAAATAAGTGAGTGGAGTGAAAAAGAGAGAGTACAGAAAAAAGAAAAGAAAAGGAATGAATATCAGAAAAATGAACAAAAGAAAGAGAGTCTATTTGCTAGAAAAAGCGAGGTTAAGAGAGCATTATTGAGTGAGCGAGTCTTGGTGCTTGTGTGCAAGGATGCTTATTTTTCTACTAACCAACTTAACCCCTCTTTGCCTTCTAGTGTTGTGGCTTTGTTGCAGGAATTTGGTGACCTATTCCCTGATGAAGTTCCCGATGGGCTTCCTCTCTTAAGAGGAATTGAGCATAGGATTGATTTCATCCCTGGAGCTTCTATACCTAATAGACCAGCTTATAGAGCCAATCCCGAAGAAACTAAAGAGATCCAACGCCAAGTTGATGAACTCATGAGGAAAGGCTTTGTAAGGGAAAGTTTGAGCCCATGTGCTGTTCCAGTACTTCTAGTGCCCAAGAAAGATGGTTCATGGCAAATGTGCATTGATTGTAGAGCCATCAACAAAATAACAGTTAAGTATTGTTATCCTATTCCTAGATTAGATGACATGTTAGATGAGTTACATGGTGCTGCATTATTTTCTAAAATTGACCTAAGGAGTGGTTATCATCAAATTTGCATGAAAGAGAGAGATGAATGGAAAACAGCTTTTAAAACTAAATTTGGATTGTATGAATGGTTGGTTATGCCCTTTGGGTTGACCAATGCACCTAGTACATTCATGAGCTTAATGAATCATGTTTTTCGTTCATTTATTAGAAAATTTGTGGTTGTCTACTTTGATGATATTCTTGTTTACAGCAGAACTTTAGATGATCATGTTATGCACTTGTGTGAGGTGTTTAAAACTCTTAGAGAAAATAGCTTGTATGCTAATTTTCAAAAATGTTCTTTTTGCATGGATTCTGTTGTGTTTCTTGGTTTTGTTGTAGGTGCTCAAGGGATCCGTGTGGATGAAGAGAAGGTAAAAGCTATCAGGGATTGGCCAACCCCAACAAATGCTAATGAAGTAAGGAGTTTCCATGGATTAGCAAGTTTCTATAGGAGGTTTGTTAAAGATTTTTCATCTATTGCTGCACCTTTGAATGAACTTGTTAAGAAGCATGTTATTTTTAAATGGGGTGAATCACAAGAAAAGGCTTTTAACATCCTAAAGGAGAAATTAACTAATGCACCACTATTGTGTTTACCTGATTTTAATAAAGTTTTTGAAGTTGAATGTGATGCTTCTGGGATTGGTATTGGTGCTGTTCTAATGCAAGAGTCTAGGCCTATTGCCTACTTCAGTGAGAAATTAAGTGGAGCTTCTTTGAATTACTCTACTTATGATAAGGAACTCTATGCTTTAAAACGAACTTTAGAAACATGGCAGCATTATTTATGGCCCAAGGGTTCATTATTCACTCTGATCATGAAAGTTTGAAGTTTCTAAAGTCTCAAGGTAAGCTTAACAAGAGGCATGCTCGCTGGTTGGAATTCATAGAGACGTTTCCTTATGTGATCAAGCATAAGCAAGGTAAAGAGAATGTTGTTGCTGATGCTCTTTCTAGGAGGTATTCTCTTATCACTTCTCTTCATGCTAGATTACTTGGATTTGAATTATTGAAAGGGTTGTATGACTCTGATTGTGATTTTTTCAAAATTTGGCTTTCTTGTGAAAAGCATGGGGTGAATAACTTTTATAGATCTGATAGGTTTCTTTTTAAGAAAGATAAATTGTGCATTCCCAATTGCTCTATGCGTGAGCTGCTTGTAAAAGAAACTCATGGTGGTGGTTTGATGGGTCACTTTGGTGTTGACAAAACATTAGCTCTTTTGCATGAACACTTTTATTGGCCTGGTATGCGCAAAGATGTTCTGTCTGTTTGTGCTAAATGTGTGACATGTAGGCATGCAAAGTCTAAGGTTCAACCTCATGGTTTATATTCCCCTCTACCTGTGCCTTCCTAACCTTGGGTAGATATTTCTATGGATTTTGTGTTGGGCTTGCCTAGGTCTCAATCTGGGAAAGATAGCATCTTTGTTGTAGTGGATAGATTTAGTAAAATGGCTCATTTTATTGCTTGTTCTAAAACAAATGATGCTGTGCATATTGCTGACTTGTTCTTCAAAGAAATTGTTAGATTGCATGGATTGCCTAAAACTATTGTGAGTGATAGGGATGTAAAGTTTCTTAGCCATTTTTGGAGGACCTTGTGGAGTAAGCTTGGAACTAAGTTGCTGTTTTCTACTGTGGCACATCCCCAAACGGATGGGCAAACTGAGGTCGTCAATAGAACACTCACTACCTTGTTACGTGCAATAATTCAAAAGAACTTGAAGAATTGGGTCAACTGCTTGCCTCATATTGAATTTGCATATAACAGGGCTATTCACTCTTCCACTTCTTTCTCTCCATCTGAGATTGTTTATGGCTTTAATCCTCTATCTCCTTTGGATATTCTGCCTTTGCCTTCTAGTGAACGAGCTAACCTTGATGGCAAGAAAAAGGCTGAGTTTGTGCAAGAATTACATGCTAAGGTGAGGGCCAACATCGAGAGAAAGAATGAGCAATATACAAAGCAAGCTAACAAAGGTCGTAGGAAGGTTGTCTTTGAGCCTAGAGACTGGGTTTGGGTACACTTGCGAAAGGAGAGGTTTCCAGAACAACGAAAGTCTAAGTTGTAGCCAAGAGGAGATGGCCCTTTCCAAGTCTTGGAGCGAATCAATGATAATGCTTATAAAATAGATTTGCCTAGCTCCTACGGTAATGTAAGTGCTACATTTAATGTGACTGATTTATCTCTCTTTGATGTTGCAGATTCGAGGACGAATCCTTTTGAGCAGGGAGGGAATGATAGAGGAGCATGGCATGATCAAGCATCAAAGGAAGACCAAAACACGGAGCGTGGAGCCCAAGCTAAAAGATGGAAGTCCAATATTCTAAAAGACCCATTACAAGGCATTGTAGGCCCAATGACAAGAGCAAGGACCAAATCTATGAAAGAGGCGCTGAATTGTTTGATAAAAGATCTTAAAGAGTTAGAGCCCATTTATTTGGAAGAAGCATCCCTCAATCAGCCCATCAAGGGTCCAAACATGGTGATTACATTGCTAGAAGCCAAACAAGATGATGTACAAGGCCCATGTGTAGTCCAGATTGAAGAATTCACTCAAAATACCATGTGACAAGCATGTGCCTTGGAGGAGGAGCATAAGTGACGTCCAAGAATATTCAAGAAGCATCAAGAAGGCGTCTTTATGTATTAGTTATGGTTTAATTTCTTTTTTTTAAGTTTCCATTTTTATTTGCATTAAATAAGGCCTTTTGGTCAAAGATTGCATAAGAATATTTTAGGTTAGTTTCCTATTTTTAGGTAGCAGCCTTTTTCTTCAAGAAAAGGTAATTTCCTATTTCCTTTAGCCTTAATTGGTGCCAACCAAGATAGTCAATCATCATTAAGGCACATTTATGGCATTTATGACCTAGGGTTTTTGATTCTAGATTGTTCTTTTGCTGCCTATATAAGGCTACGTTTTTTGTAATTGGGGATCAGATTTGAATGAATGAATTTTAGAGAACTTTATTTCTCTTGAGTGAGCTTTGCTTGCCGCCTCGTATTCTCGTGGGAATACTCGACTGTATCAAGGACTGATCATCCTTGTGGTGTCTCCATGGCTAGGGTTGTAAGAGATAGGTTCTCTTAAGGTCCTACCTTCGATCGTTCGTCTAGTTTCCTAACTTGTTTCTAGCCGATCCGTATCCGTACCTTATATCAAAAGGCCTAATAAAGTTCAAGAATCAAAGCTAGAAAAATAAACCCTAAAAGAAAAAAAATCAGGAAAAAGGGGTTTAGGGGGTCATGTTAAGTTATGGAGTTGTAATAATGCTTAATGTTGTGTCATTGGTTGCTTAATAGGCTACACACAACAAAAGGGAAAAGATCTAGTTAAGAGGAAAGAGTTCAAGAGGAAGGAAAGCATTCAAGGTAGCTTTGCAATCCATTATATTAGAGTGTCACTTTATTTTGTATGATTATGGCTGTCTGTTTTACTAACTTGTTATGCTACAAGGTGGATGAGAATGTTATGTTATATGATGTCGTCTCCATGCAATTTATGCCTTGGCTTATGTTATATTGAGTGTCATGAATGTTTATGATGATATGTCCTTGCCATAGCATGAACATAAGTTAAAGTATGCATGCATGTAGCTTGATTTACAATGTATTGTGTGACCTTGATAATGTATACAATTGCTACTAAGATTCCCCAAGAATCTTACCCCAATATTTAAGCAAATCCTAGGGCCTTCAACACCCAAGGGCAAAGTAAGGGAGTTAGCTTTTATTTGAAGAGTAGTAAGCCATAGTGACTTTATATGGCTTTGAACCTTTCTATTTTGGAAGAATGT